CTATTTTTTGGTTGCAGCCATCATTGTTGTTTGGCGGGTCCGGGCTGGATTCAAACCCGCCACCTTAGGTATACATGGCTGGCGCCTTAGCCACTTGAGCCACAGGCGCCGAGCCACAGATTTCATAGTTACTAGGAAAGTTACCCCCTTATTTGTTTTTACTTCTGATTCAAACACTATGAAAAGCTCTGTTCTCGTTCTCAGTTGCAGCATTTGACTTGACTGGGAGCAGTTCCTGTAACTGCCCAGGACACATGACCTAACAGATCCTGGTGGTCGAGGGGCTGGAGGCCTGGCTGTTGTCAGGGCTATGAGGTGCCAGCCCGGGAAGCCTTGTGAGCCTGAGATAGCAGGGTGTCCAGGGGATGCTGTGAGAACACTCAGGCCTCAGGCTCACTTGGAGATAGCAGGGGCCAGTTCGCGCAAAGCCCTGGGGTAGCACCTAGCCATGTCTTTCCCACTTCTGCTACCCATCTCTTCCCGGGGGCATCTGGGCCCTGTGCAGGGGCAGTCCTTGCACCTGATCCTTTGAGGGAGGAGGCAGCCCTCAAGGCCCTTCCCTCGGGCTTCACTGTCCTCACTGGTCGCTGCATTTCCTGGCACCTAAACTTGTCTGTGTCCCTCCTGCCTGCTGGAGCCAGGTGGCATACAGCAGGTGCTTGCTGTCTGCTGTGAATGCAGAGGTGGGGACCCCAGGGACCAGGAGAGGCTGGCAGGAACACAGGTGACCTGCTGGTGTCCCCCTAGGTCTGAGAGCTCCAAAGGTGAGCGTCGGGAATGGTCTCTGTCCCAGAGCATTGGACAGATCCAGTCCCCTTGGGCCCTGAGGAAGGCAGTGAAGGTGTCACAGGTGGGGGCACTTCCCATGTAGTGTCACCTTGAGAGCACATCCTATGGGGTATGAGTGTCACCTGGGGAGCATGTCTTGTGTGGTGTGGGTATCACCTGGGGCACATCCTGTAGGGTGTGGGCTACACTTGGGGCACATCCTATGGGGTATGGGTGTTAACTGGGGAGCATATCCTGTGGGGTATCCCTGTAGTTCTGGCTCCCAGCCCCTGCACTGAGTATGGGGAAGGAGTCTCCTCTCAGCTGTGCTTCCAGAGGTGGGTCATAAGTGACATGCCACCCCCTGCTGTGGGCCACCTGCACCAGCCATCAGGCCTGTCTCCTTTCTTCACTTCCCCTGAGAGGTGGCTTTCCCAGGGGGGTTCCTTCTGAGGTGTGGCCCCAGCTTAACAGCCCCCTCAGGGCAGCACCAGCCCTAAGCACAGGACGGTCCTCTGGGGTGACCCTGCCGATTAACTGCTCTGCCCTCCTCTCCTTGCAGAAGGACATGGCCCTGAAGCCACAGGAACGGAAGGAGAAATGGGAACGTCGCCTCATGAAGAAACCCCGAGAGTCTGAGAACTGCCCACCTGCAGAGCCGAGTGAGCACAGGCGGCCCCTGGAGGCGGGCAGCCCCAGGCAGGACTTGGAGCCTGCCTGCGACGGGGGGCCGAGGAAGGTCCCACTGCAACCCTCCAAGCAGGTGAGCGCCGGGTCTCCCCACGCAGGAACTAGGCAACCTGGGACCACGCCAGCACCTGGACACCACCCATGGCAGCACCTGGGGCTGTTTGGCAACGCGCCTCATCGTTGTTGGACTTGGGGTATGGGACATATGTGGCCAGGCTGGGTCACAGAAAAGCAGTGACTTGCCCAGGCCACAGCTGGAGAGGGGCCTACCCAGGATGGGAGGGCATGTGCTGGGTGGGTGCCAAGTGGATAGGTCGGCCCCGTTTCCCCCGCGTCTGCCAGGCTCCGCCGACTACCCGGTGTCCAGTGTGTCTGTCAGGAGCGAGGGGACCAGGTTTGTTGCTGAGCACTCTCCTACTGCACACACAGCGCCATCTGTGACGTGCTCAGCATAGAGTGGGGGAGTGGTCAGTCCCGGTGGTCGCCGCAGGCATGTGACTTGTTGGTGGTCCAGGTGCACGGCACAGCTGGGAAACAGGGCTCTGCCTGCCCCACCTGGGGGCCTTTCTGCCTGTCTGGGGTGTGAGCAGGTGGAAGCTGGCCCAGGGCTTCTGGCCTAGGGTTCTCTCCTAGGCCTTGGCTTAGCCTGCAGCTACTTCCTCCTGGGGCCCGCTGGCCTGCACCTTCTTCTCAGAGAGGGCTTTTGTTCGGTGTTTCGGGCTCCACTGTTGGTTCCCTCGGGACTTGGGCTGCTAGAGGGGGCAGCATGTCTCACGGGCCCGGGCTGGATGGGGGGGTCCGCAGACACACCTGCCTAGGTGGACACGTGCTCTTTCTTCCATGCAGGTGTGCTCCCCAGAAGGGGGGCCGCTCCCAGACAACCCCTGGGACCAGAACAGCCCGGCCCAGCACCAGCAGCAGCTGCAGCCCAGCCAGCCCAGCCAGCCCCAGGGGCCCCCCCCAGCCCCGTCGGAGCTCCCAGATCCCGGGCAGCCCTGCCAGCCCTGCCAGCCCCGAGAGCCCCGCCAGCCCCGCCAGCCCCAGCGGCCACCCCCGGGTCAGCGCAGCAGGCCCCAACGGTCACTTCTGGGCCTGAGACAGCCCTGCCAGCCCCGGCGATTACTTCTGGGCCCCCGTCAGCCTTGCAGACCCCAGCGGCTGCCTCCAGCCCCAGATCAGCAGTGCCGACCCCAGCAGTCACACCAGACTCAGCCCTGCCGGCCACGTTGGGTGCTCCCAGGCCTCAGGCAGTGCTGCCGGCGCCTGCGCTCCCTGCTGGCCCCACGGTCCCTTCTGGCCCCCTGCCTCCACTGCCGGCGTCTACGCTCTCTCCTGGTCCCACGGTCCCCCCTGACCCCCTGCCTCTACTGCCGGCGCCTGCGTTCCCTGCTGGTCCCATGGTCCCCCCTGACCCCGTGCCTCTATTGCCGGCGCCTGTGGTCCCCCTTGGCCACCTGTCTCTACTGCCGGCGCCTGCGTTCCCTCCTGACCCCAGGGCACCGCTGCCGGCGACTACGGTCCCTGCTGACCCGGTGGCACTGCTGCCGGCCCCGGCGGCCATGGGCCAGCCCCTGTCACTGTGGCCATCCCAGTGGGGCTTCCTCAGGACAGCGCCGTCGGCCCCTGTGGTCTCTGCTAGCCCATTGCCCACGATGCCAGCCCCCACGGCCACTCCTACCCCTGCGACCACGCCGCCGGCCTGCCAGCTTTCTCCCAGGCCAGTGCTGCTGCTCTCGGCGAGCATTCCTAGCCCCATGTCAGTACAGCCAGCCCCGAAGGTCCCTCCTGGGCCAGCCCAGCCGCCCCCAGCAGTCACTCCTGGGCCTCAGTCAGCCTCAGCAATTAGTTGAAGCCCCAGAGCAGCCTGGCCCACCCAAGCCCTCACTGCTGGGTCCAGGACAGCCGTGCCAACAGAAGCGACCACTCATGGGCCTGGAGCAGCCTCGCCCCAAGCGGCCACTCATGGGCCCAGAACAGTCATGTCAGCCTCTACGGCCACTCATGGGCCCAAACCAGCCCTGCCAGCCCCAGCCCTTACTCACCATCCCTGACCGCCCTTCACTCCTAGGGCAGCCAGGCCTGTCCTGCCGGCCTCTCATGGGGCCCCCATGCCAGCCTCGGCGGTCACTGTTGGACCTGGTGCCAGCCCCTCAGCCCCAGCTCCTGGCCCTGGGCCGTCCCTGCCGGCCACTGAGATCACGATGGACCCGCTCCTCTGCCCCTGGGGTAGCCCGCCAGGCCCCATCTGTGAGCCCTGGAGCCTGATGCCCTGCAGGTGCTTCCTTGGTGTGTTGGACACCCCAGTTGGGGCTGCACCCTGGCAGGGCCCTGAGACCAGGGCCACTTCCCTGCAGATCTGAGATGCTTTGCTGGACTGGCCTAAGGCCTCCTCCAGGCAGGGCCAAGCATTGCCACTAGGAACTGAGGCTCAGGCAGAGGTGGGAGCCCCACAGTGCTGGGATCAGGCAAGATACACCACACCAGGAGGAGAGGAGACGACCCATCTTCCTCCTACATCTGCTGCACCCTTCCCTAACAGTGTCCCAGTGCCCCCAACCTGAAGGCTGCTTGGGATGTGCATGCCTTGGGGAGAGCACAGCTGCCCTCAGATTCTGGAGGTCCCTCAGCATCTTTCTGTGCCTCTAAGTTGCCAACACTGTCCTTGCATCTGAGTCTCCATGCACACCTGTCCCAGGTGTACCACTGTGCAGGGTGTGTGTGGAATGTATGGTTGTGTACGTGTGCACGTGCACATAGTGTGTGGGGTGTGGGGTGCCAGGACAAGAGTGCTTTTGTTGGGAGGGGGGTACTAGCCACAGGCCTTATTCCTTGGGCCCCAGCCTATCTGGCCACAGTGTGTCCCACTAACCCCCAGACGGAATAGCTAAGATGTGGGCTTTGCTGGAGGCTGCACTCCAGGTCCCAGCCTTCCTCAACAATTGCATGGTACTGGTGTCCCCTTCCCAGGTCCTTAAGCTACAGGAGGGCCATCTGGCTGAGCAGGAGCTGCTGGTGACTGGAGGCTTCCACTCCCACCTCAGGACTCTGCCTCTACCCCCAGTAGGTGTGCACAGAAAGGGGCTGTCAGGGTCTGCAGACCAGTGAGAACCCATGCTGGGAAAGCCCCATCTGCTGGGCCCTTCCTCAAAGCACCCCCCACAGTATTCTCTCTGGCTGTCAATCCACCCCACCCCATTTGGCAGACCTCACACTACAGGGCTGTAGGGCTGTCTCTGGGCCCCCCACTGGTGGTCAGAAACAGCTTCCTTAGACCCCGGGTCTCAGGGCAGCCATACACTCAGGTCTCCTGGAGTATGGGGCACGCCTCTTGCCCCATAAAGGGAGCATGTGTTCTATGAGGCGGGAGGAGCTGGGGAGGGGAGCTCTGTCTCCACACCCCTTGTGGGGCCAGCTGCAACTAGCTGCTCTACAAAGGCAGGCATTTCTGGAGAGTAGCACTGGCCACCTGCAGGTCCCTGGGCTGAGGGGAGATAGGAAGGAGGCTCCCTGGCTGGAGACCCAGGCTGTCCCCAGCCCCCTCCCTGCTGCCCCTGCCCATACCTGGGTAGACCCCTTCCTCGGTGCTCACCTGGGGCCTCCATCCCAGAAACGCAGGGCTTATTTTTCTGATTAAAGAAAATAAAAAGTGCCATGCCACTATTTTTTATAACAGCATTAGTGTTTGTAATTTAAACAGATGAGTGTGTGTCTTAAATGATTTATTCTGACAAATGGTCCTTATGCAAATGGACTTGGCTCTTGTTTCATTAGATTTGGACTGAATAGAAAGGGGACCTGAGTGTCTGCTTTTGCTCAGCCTAGCCCAAGGCTCTAGGGTGCTCTTTGCCCTTGGGGTGGGCACCCTGGCAGGGGGCAAGGGGCTCATGTGAAGGCAGAATTCAGGTTATGCCAAACCTACCCATCTTAGGTCAGTCTTGAAAGAAATCATACCTGGGGTGGGTCTTAGCCTGTCAAGTATCACCCTGAGGAGGTCCAGGAAACCTGAGGCCAGGTCCTGACCATGGGTTTAGGGAAAGTCCTCATATTGTAATTACCCTCAAAGTCACTCACAAAGGATCTGGACCCATTTTCTCCCTGTTGTGCACTAAATCTCCTATTTCCAGCCTGTCTCCACTTTTAGGGGCCCCCCTGGGGGCTATGGGACTAGAGGGGCTGTGTGAGCACAGGGCCTTGTCCTGGGTGCAGACCAGGACAGCCTGAGGGAGCCGTGCAACTGGCCAGGGGCAGAGGCCATCTGGGCTGGGAGGGTAGGGTGTGGGCTGGGCCCCATGCCCAGGACCTAGGAGCACGGTGGACACCTGCCAAGGAAGCTACTAGGTCCTTAGTGACCTAGAGGGACTCCAAAGCCTGACTATGACCTCCAGTTTCCAGCCTGGGCCTCATGTCCATGCTGGCCTCAGGTTCAAGGTGTCGCTCTGGCAAGGGAAGAGCTGACAAGGATCCTGAGGGACCACTGCTGCCCTTGGGAAATGCTGGGGTTTTGTTTTTTCTGAGTAGCTGGAAATCCAGATTTTTCTGTGGATTTGGTGACTGAAATATTGGTGGCCAGTACTATGACCCGCCTTGCAGGACACAGCTTGTGGGCCTGCCCCCAAAGATGGGGAGGGATAGCTGTTGGGGTGGAAAGGCAGGGCAAGCCAGCCTGGAGTTCAGTGAAGCCTGAGGGAGGCCGCCCAGCCCTTGTGAAGACCCCATTGCTGCTTCACAGGCCTTTCTGAAGACATGGCCTGGGTGCAGTACCCAGGTGACTATAGGCAGGGTAGTCCCTGCCATCTGCAGAAGGAGCTGTGGGCTGAGGCCAGCACCTGCTCCTACTGAGACTTGGTGGTGACAGTGGTCACTGAGGTTGTTGTCAGGGTAAGGAAGGGGCACTTAGGATGGATTCCTGGAAGACAACTCTGAAAGTCTATTGAGGGAAGCAGGGCTTGGAGCTCTAGGGGCCCCAAGGTGTTGCTGACCTGGGTGAGTCAGAAAGTTGCAAAGGTGGCCCCAGGGAGGGAGGGATTAAATGGGGGTGACTTTGGAGCTGGATCCTTTCTTCCCCACAGAGGGTGTGGGTGGCACATGTCCAGACACCTGCTTGGGCCTCCTGAGTGGAGCTCCTGACTGTAAGTGAATGCTCATGGTCCTAACCCAAGTCTTGCCTTTAGTATTGGGGGGAGGAGAGGCTGCCTAGAATCAACAGGTTTTGTGAGCACCAGCACATTCCAGACACAAGTCTAGCACTGAGGGTGCCCCCATTCTAGCCTAGAGAGGCAGACCAGGAACAGATGTGTGGCCTGTCCATTAGTGTGTGAGAAGATTCTTGGAGAGATCGAGGAAGGGGCTGCAGACACAGGGATGCCCACCAGAACGGCCCATGCAGAGACTGGTGGCAGGCCGTACCTGAGGTGAACAGGGTTAGCCCAGAGGTTGGAAGACAGGTCTTGGAGGGCCTAGGGCCTTGCAGGACTGGAGCAGGGTAGCCTGACCTGGGACCCATCTGTCAATCTTGGTGTTCTCCCAGGCAGGCACAAGGGTCCAGCCTGCTTCCCAGACCTGCAGCTGGTGTCTGGGGTACACTGACATAGGCCAGGCAGAGAGGCCACTGGCTCTCCTTCTCCAGCCAAAAACTACTGCTCATGGAGCTGTTGGGAAATTATAAAGGCTCTGCCACTAGGCCAGGATTTGGCAAGAAGCCCTTCCCAGACTGCGAGGCTAGCAGGCTGAGAGGAGCAAGCACATGCCTGGAGGTGTCCCTTGGACTTTGTTAGCTCAGGTTCTGGTCCTATGCTGGGTGGGGCTTAGACTCCTTAGAGGAGTACCATTTAATAGGAATACCATGTGAGCCGCGCCAAAAATCGCTTCTCGGGCTTTTGGCTAAGATCAAGTGTAGTATCAAGTGGAGCCGCGCCAACAAGTAAAGAGAAGTAAGTGGGACTAATTTCTATTATATATTTTATGTAATTCCATGTATTTCCAAAATAGTGTTATTTTTAACCTGTAATCAATATAAAAGTTACCAGCGAGATAATTTCATTCTTTTTTTGTTTGAGTCCTGCATTTACAACACTGCTCAGTTTAGCCATATTTCACGTGGTCAGTGACCACATGTGGCAAAGCACAGGCAGCCGTGGGGTGTCCAAAACGACGTGCCCTATGAGCACAACCCTGGCCATGCCTAGGTACCTGTGGTGGGTTTCTTACTTTCTAGTTTATCCACTCATAATCAATCCCTTGTGCCTCAGCCTGGACCTGAGGTACCCTCTCACTCGGCATGAGCAAAGCATAGCACACCAGCTCCCAAATCTCTTTTCTCCCATCTCAGTGGATGAACCTAGTGTCTACCCAGAAGGGCCAGAAATTGGAAGTCTCTTGCACTCCTCATCACCCTCATCCTCCCACCCAGCTCACCCAGGCAAGTCCTGGGCATCCACCTCTTAAACCTCCTCTGAACTAAGTTTCACTGAGAAATGATGAATACAAACATCAGAATGTGTGGGATGCAGCTAAAGCAGTGCTTAGAATGACTTCTCTAGCTTTAAATGGTTGTATTAGAAATGCAGAGGGGTCTAAAGTCAATGCCCCAAGGTTTCACTTTAAGAAGCTGAAGAATGGCTCAGTGCCTGTGGCTCAACCGGCTAAGGCGCCAGCCACATACACCTGAGCTGATGGGTTTGAATCCAGCCCAGACCCACCAAACAACAATGACGGCTGCAACCAAAAAATAGCCAGGCGTTGTGGCAGGCGCCTGTAGTCCCAGCTACTTGGGAGGCAGAGGCAGGAGATTCGCTTGAGCCCAGGAGTTGAAGGTTGCTGTGAACTGTGATGCCATAGCAGTCTACCCAGGGCAACAGCTTGAGGCTCTTGTCTTAAAAAAAAAAAAAAAAAAGGCTGAAGAATGGCTTGGCACCTGTGGCCCAAGTGGCTAAGGCGCCAGCCACATACACCTAAGGTGGCAGGTTGGAATCCAGCCCGGGCCCACCAAACAACAATGATGGCTGCAACCAAAAAAAAAATAGCCAGGCGTTGTGGTGGGCGTCTGTGGTCCCAGCTACTTGAAAGGCAGAGGCAGGAGACTCCCTTGAGCCCAGGAGTTGGAGGTTGCTGTGAGCTGTGATGCCACAGTACTTTACCCAGGGGGACAGCCTGAGGCTCTGTCTCAAAAAAGAAAAAGAAAGAAAGCTGAAGAGGCTCAGCGCCTATGGCTTAAGTGGCTAAGGCGCCAGCCACATACACCTGAGCTGGCAGTTCGAATCCAGCCCGGGCCCACCAAACAACAATGATGGCCACAACCAAAAATAGCTGGGCGTTGTGGTGGGCACCTGTAGTCCCATCTATTTGGGAGATGGAGGCAGGAGAATTGCTTGAGCCCAGGAGCTGGAGGTTGCTGTGAGCTGTGGTGCCATAGCACTCTACCCAGGGTGACAGCTTGATGCTCTGTCTCAAAAGAAAAAAAAAAAAGAAGCTGAAGAAATAACCCTACAGAAGGAAGGAAATAGTACAGTTGAGCAGAAACTAATGAAATGGGAAACAAGCAAGGGAGGAAATCAACAAAGCCAAAGTCATTTCTTTGAAAACATCAACAAAATCAAGAAATCTCTAGGAAAAGAGATCAGGCAGAGTGTGGTGGCTTACACCTGTAATCCCAGCACTTGGGAGGCCAAGGCAGGTGGATTGTCAAAGCTCACGGTTTTGAGACCAGCCTAAGCCAGAGTGAGATCTCATCTCTAAAAATAGCCGGGTGCTGGACACCTATAGTCCCAGCTACTTGGGAGACTGAGGCAAGAGAATCTCTTGAGCCCAGGAGTTTGAGGTTGCCATGAGCTATGACACGAAGGCACTCTACCAAGGGTGGCAAAGTGAGACACTGTCTCAAGAAAAAAGGAAAAACACAAATTACCAACATTAGGAATGAAAAAGTAAATATAATTATAGGTGCTGCAATGTGAAAAGGACAAAATAGAACATCTTTATTTATTTATTTTTTTGGTAGAGACAGAGTCTCACTTTGTTGCCCTGGGTAGAGTGTCATGGCATCACACAGCTGGCAGCAACCTCCAACTCCTGGGCTTAGGTGATTCTCTTGCCTCAGCCTCCCAAGTAGCTGGGACTAGAGGCGCCTGCCACAATGCCTGGCTATTTTTTGGTTGCAGTTTGGCCAGGGCCGGGTTTGAACCCTCCTCCCTCAGTATATGGGGCCAGTGCCCTACTCACTGAGCCACAGGCACTGCCCAGAACACTTTTATTTTAGTAATTCAACAAGTGAGGTAAAATGGACAAATTGCTTGACAAACACCAAAATGGACACAAGATCAGACAATCTGAGTAGTCCCATCTTTTGGACATACAGACTTGGCCGTCTCAGTGTCACATCCCTGGGTTAACTCAGCCCGACATGACCATCTTTCCCCATCACCTCAGGCACCACATCTTATGGAGTCTCACCACACTTTTTAGCCGGAGATGCTAGAGGAAAGCAGCAATACCTGAATAACTTGTCCAAGGTCAGCACAGTTAGTGGCTGAACCAGGCTCCCAATCTAGCAGCCACTTGTGGAATCTGAGCCTTGGCAGATGGGACAGCAGCTGCTACTTTCCTCTGCTAGCATGTGTGCAGGCATCCTGCCTCTGAGAGCTTTCTGGAAAGTTCTCTTCACTCATAGGGTCCTT